TGGCTAGCAGGAAGTGGGCAGAGCATTCCAGCTAATCCAGGCTGTGATGCAACTCCCAGACAGCCATTTAAAGCTGCCATAAATTACAGCAGCCCAACCCCTGGCCTGCTTTAATTTATTCTGGAGACTGCACCAGTCTCTGGAAAATTTCAGAATAAGGGAGGTACAAAGAGGGCATGTTAGTCATCTTTGCTTTTCCCTTGTTTGTAGGCTTTACTTCCTGTGTTTCCAGATCAGTGTAGCATAGAATTTGCCTTTGCTATGTATTCTGGGTTCTTTCCCAAGGTGGAAAGTCTCTCACTGACTTCAGTGAGCTTTGCATGATGCAGTGCTGACAGTCTTCAAGCAATGCCCACAAAATCACCTTTTGGAGAACAGTGGTTTTCCAGAGGCCCTCCTTAAATTCAAAAGTCTAATCAATTAAAAAGTACCAGATAAATCTTTTGCTCTGTGCAATACACAAACTTCAGGCAGGCAATCTGATAGGGTAGTCTTTTATAGTTTAGAACATTACATGTATGCTAAACTTTCATCACGGTCACTGGACACTGGGAGGACTGAGACCCAAGTTGGCAGGATCAAGACCACTGCCACCAAGAGGAAGCAACAGGTGGTGGTGGTTGGAGACTCCCTTCTGTGGGGAATTGAACTATCCATCTGCTGGCTTGACCTGTTGTCTCAGGAGGGTCAGGTGCTTGCCTGGAGCCTGGATCCAAGACATCATGGAAGGATTACTGGGACTCATGCAGCCCCCTCTGACTACTACCCCATGCTACTCATTCATGTGGGCAACATGGGTGATGTCATGGTGGGTGCTTCCTACAAACCACCAGATCAGGAGGATGTGCTAGATCAGGCTTTCTTCAAACAGCTAACAGAATTTTCCTATTCACAGGCTCTGATTTTCATGAGGGACTTTACCACGCTGACATCTGCCGGGAGGGCAATACAGCAGTACACAGACAATCCAGGAAGTTTTTGGAAAGTGTTGGGGACAGCTTCCTGGTACAAGTATTGGAAAGGCCAACTAGAAGTCATGCTCTTCTTGACCTGCTCCTCACAAAAAGGGAAGAATTGATGGGGAACGTAGAAAGTGGATGGCAACGTAGGCAGCAGCAACCACAAGATGACTGAGTGCAAGATCCTGAGGAAAGGAAGGAAAGAGAGGAGCAGCATATGTCTTAAGCTCTTTCAGGGAACTGATGGGCAGGATACCCTGGGAGGCCAGTCTGAGGGGGAAAAGAGGAGTCCAGGTGAGCTGGTTGTACTGTAAAGAAACCTTACTGAGAGTGCAGAAACAAACCATCCTGATGCACAGGAAGACTAGCATGTATGGCAGAAGACTAGCTTGGCTTATCAGGGAACTCTTCAGTGAGCTAAAACACAAAGAGGAAGCTTACAAGAAGACAAATGACTAGGGAGGAGTACAAGAGAATTGCTTGGGCATGCAGGGATGAAGTCAGGAAGGCCAAAGTGCAACTGGAGTTGCATCTAGCAAGGGATGTGAAGGGTAACAAGAGGGTTTCTACAAGTGTGGCTGCAAAAAGCGGAAGATCAGGGAAAGTGTTGATCCCTTACTGAATGGAGGAAGCAACCTAGTGAAAGATGATATGGAAAAGGCTGAAGTACTCAATGCCTTTTACCTCAGTCTTCACAGGCAAGGTCAATTCCCAGACTACTGCGCCTGGAAGCAGAGTTTGGGGAGGAAATGATCAGCCAACAGTGGCAAAATAACAGGTTAGGGACTATTTAGAAAAGCTGGATGTGTCCAAGTGTGTGGGGCCAACTGCAATGTACCCCAGGGTGTTGAGGGAGTTGACCGGTGTGACTGGACCATTAGCTTTGAAAACTCTTTACGATCAAGAGAGGTCCCAGATTATTGGAAAAGGGCAAATATAGTGCCTATCTTTAAAACAGGGAAGAAGGAGGATCCAAAAAACTACAAACTGGTCAGATGCACTGCAGTCCCTGGAAAAATCATGGAGCAGATCCCTCAAGGAATCTATTACTAAGCACTTGGAGGAGAAAAAGGTGATTAAGAACAGTCAGCATGGATTCACCAACCTGACTGTCTTCTGTGATGAGATGACTAGCTCAGTGGATGCTGGGAGAGTAGTGGACATGATATGCCTTGACTTTGTTGTGGGAGACCGTATCAAAAGCCTTGCTATTCTCACCAGCAAGCTAAGGAAGTATGGTTTGGATGAATGGACTGTAGGGTGGACAGAAAACTGGCTGAATCATTGGTCTCAGAGGGTAGTAGTCAATGGCTCAATGTCTAGTTGTCAGCTAGTAACAAGTGGAGTGCCCCAGGGGTCAATCCTGGGGCCAGTTTTGTTCAATGTCTTCATCAATTACCTGGAAGATGGGATGGAGTGCACCCTCAGTAAGTTTGTGGATGACACCAAACTGGGCAGAATAGTAGATATGCTGGAAGGCAGGCGTAGGATTCAGAGAATCATAGATAAGTTGGAAGATTGGACCCAAAAAAATCTCATGAGTTTCAATAAAGACAAGTACAAAGTCCTTTACTTAGGACACAACAATCCCATGCACTGGTACAGGCTGGGGGCTGATTGGCTGGGCAGCAGCTCTTCAGAAAAGGACCTGGGAGTTCCAGTGGACAACCAACTGAATATGAGCCAACAGTGTGTCTTTGTTGAGAAGGCGGCTAACGGCATACTGGTCTGTATTAGTAGGAACATTTGCAGCAGATTGAGGGAAGGGATTATTCTCCTCTATTTGGTGCTGGTGAGGCCACATCTGGAATCCTGTGTCCAGTTTTGGACCCCGCACTACAGAAAGAATGTGGACAAGTTGGAGAGAGTCCAGTGGAGGGCAACAAAAATGGTTAGGGGGCTGGAGTACATGACATATGAGGGAAGGTAGAGGAAACTGGTTTATTTAGTCTAGAAAAGAGAAAACTGAGGGGGAATTTAATGGCAGCCTTCAACTACCTGAAGAGTGGTTCCAAAGAGGATGGAGCTAAACTGCTCTTAGTGGTGGCAGATGACAAAACAAGGAGTAACAGCTAAGCTTAGGTTAGATATCAGGAAGCTAAGCTTAGGTTAGATATTAGGAAAAACCTTCTCACTAGGAGGGTAGTAAAATACTGGAACAGGTTACCCAGAGAGGTTGTGGAATCTCCATCCTTGGAGGTTTTTAAGACCTGGGTAGACAAAGCCTTGGCTGGGATGATCTATTTGGGGATGGTCCTGCTTTGAGTAGGGGGTTGGACTAGATGACCTCCAGAGGTCCCTTCCAACCCTAACTTTCTATGATTCTATGAAATTTCAGGCACACAAGTGTCTTCTGGCATTCTTTGTATGTAAATTCCCAAAGGACAACTTAGCAATACCCTCAGGAATTACAGTAGAAAGGGCATGGGCATGAAAAAGATGGGAGAAGTTATAGCTGTAAGAGTCTCTTCAAATGTAATGAAAGTTGTGGGACTAAAACTCTGCCTGATTTTAATAACAAAGGCCATGTCCACACAAGCATAGCTATTTGTTTCCCCGGGGACAAAAAGCAGCTTTACCTGGGGTCCTGGGGCCTCAGGGAGCTGCAGCCAGAGCAATCCTGCTGCTCAGAGCCTGTCCAGCAACCAGAGTGTGGCTCCAGCTGGCCAGGCTCCAGTTTTGGACAGTGCGCGCTGCCTTTGCGTGCACTGCTCCGCTTTTTTGTTGTGCAGGTTTTTTTGACCCTGGGATCTCCTGGGCTCAAATAACCTCCCAGTGCAGAGAACAGCTAAAGGTGCGGTATGTGGTGCCGCAGACGTGTCTGCAGCACCACACACTGCACAGCCACGCTTTTCTGGACGTGGCCTAAGGGTGTAATATACAGCTAGTTTTTGTATTAACAATTGAATGACAAGCACACATTTCTAAACTGCCCTAGTGTTTTCATGGTGTCAGCTGATATGAGCTCATATCATTGTTCTGCACTGTGCTGGGGAATATGTTGTGAGAAACAACAGAAACCATTTTGCGAAATGTTGCTGTTAACTGTTTTGTATAGGTGCAAGAGTGACTGAAAATTTAATAAGGCAGACACACCACATCCGTCATAAAACAGAAAAAAAATGAAAAACTAGAGTCACCGTTAAAACATCAAGCCTGATCCTTCAGCTTTAACCCCCAGCAGCTAAATTCTGTTCTTTATCCTGTTGTAAATTAGAAACAATTCCATTTATTTCAGTGGGGTTGTACTTACACAAATCAGAAGTAGCTAAGACTAGAACCAGACCCTGAAGTATCAACATCACTGAACTATTCAGTGGTAAAATCTTCAGGATCAGGATTATTGTCCTGGTGAGTCAACAAAAAGTCCTGAGTTAGCTGGAATCAGTTTTAAACTATTCCATTCTTTTAAATAATCACAAAACTTCAGCTACTGAGCCTCCAGACAGCTCTGAATAATGATAAATTGCTATATATGGAGGTAGGAGCAGGTGCCTGGTGAGGTATCACAGTGATTAATGATTAAAAAAAATAACTAATATGCAGATAATAGCGCATTTAGAAGAATTTTGACCACTAGTGAGAACACTGATTTAATTCAAAGAAGCTGGTGAGTTTAGAAACATAGAAAATTAGGTTCAGTTTGGGAAGTCTAGATTACTGTGGAAAAACAATCTGAAAGCCAATATATTAGGAGTGGAATAAATCTGGAAAATAGTGATTGATTAGAAAATGATAGGACGATCAGACTGTGATAGATTACACAAAGTTCAGTAAGAGTTTCCAAAACAACAGAGCATCAAAAAGTAGCCAGTGTGCTTTTTGAAGGGGGCTAAAAATTCTACACATCCCACAGGGAGAAGGGAAGGAATAATCCTTTCCTGATGCCTCTGGTATGACAGCTAAAATGCTGAGTCCAAGTCTGGATTCCACACTGACGTGCCAGACAGAGACCAGAGAAGAGGAACAGAAATGACCAACAAACTGGAGAAACTACTTTTAAGCTCTATTTGTCTCTTTTCATCTTTTTTTTTGTAACAGCTGACCAAGTTGGAGAACATGGAGACAAACTCAGAGCCAAAGCTGGAGAAGAGAATTTATCACAAGAACTAGTGGTAAGGGGATAAAATTAATTATAATAAACAAGTTGAGTGTATTTTTACTGCTTGAGTTCTCTCCTCTCCTTGCTCTATCCCCCTCCTCCATGATCTTTGTTAGTCCCAGATGGTTGTCTCTATAGTCAACACTTCAGGGAGGACTCAGATCTTTCTCTTTGGTCTCCCAGCAGGAGCATTGGCACACTCCAGTCAAAATCCCAAGCCTGGGCTACAGCCAACACCCAGTGCCTCTGAGGAAGGTCTAGAAACACCCTGACACATAGCAGAAAGAGGGAGGGGGCAACCAGCAAAGCCCAGAACCATGGGAAACTACCATAGCAGAACATAGGAGTAGCTATACCTATATCATCCCTGACCAGTGGCTGTCCAAGAGAAAATGCTGGCCAAGCAATAGAGAAAAAATTCTTGCTTAAGCTCTTTTGCCTTGTGTAACAAGGGTGGTGGTGGATTGACTTTGTCAATACAGAGCCATTTTTGGATTGGCTCTGTATTGTCAAGGACATGGCTCAGAAGAGTGTATCAGATCCTGAAGTTCTGTGGTACAGCTCATATCCACGTTCCATCTGCAGTAGGACATCACCACGCTGCCAAAGAGGGTTTTGCAGCTGTTCTGGGTAGGTCTATGAATAGGGGCAGGGGCAGGACCAGCCCACTAACTTTGATTTCCTGAAGCTTATAATTGGTCTCTGCGTTTAGCTTGAGACTTGGATGCATCTCTAGCTCTCCTGCCAGACTGTAGAAAGGCCATCCTTGTATATTTTCTTTTCTTTTCATGGACTGCATGAAAACACAAAAACTTCTAGTGTGCTATTTTTTCATACATGTTTGAAAATTTCTCTTGCAGATAATTTTTCCTACAACTTTAACATTTTCTTTCCACTGAAACCCAGTCACATGGATGTTCACAGAAAGCAATGTCAGAAGGACAAAAGCTTTGTTGGAGTGAATTAATTATACAGTTGGGACAAACGTGGAGTATTTTAACAGTATGCCCCCAACTTGAGTTGTGATTCTCATCAGCAATGAAGAGAGACTGTAATTTTTTGTTTTTCACTTATCAAGAATTCCAGAGTTTAAAACATATTGGAAATGTTCCAAGTTTTAAAATGCTCCTCATTTAAGAAAATAAACAGGTAATATCCATGGAGGCATCCAAATATGTAGTGTGCATAGGATCACAACACAGAGACTGCTACTTTTCCTTATTTTGGTAAGAAAGCAAAAAAGGGCTTTTTCAGAGCCTAGAAGACATTCCATGTTTTTCAGAAAAAGATTATGCCTGTGTTTTTCAGCATCACAACAAATTTGCCACTGCCTTCTCATCTCATACGCAATTTAATTTCCCTTTCGTGCAGATACATTAAGCTAAAACTGACTTCTAATCATGTCACTTACATATACATGTTTCCCCCCCTTTTAAAGTGTTTGAAGTGAGGAAGAATTCTGTTTGACTTTGAGCAGTCTAAAAGGGGAGGCTAATCTTTCAGCTCAGCAGAAATGGCAGCTAATTTTAAACTACCAGTTTCATCTTTCTCCAGCAGAAATGCACATTTTCCCCTACCATAAAATTTTCTCATAATAGAAATGAGACAGTTCCCAGGGGTGTGGTTATCAAAAGATAATCTCACCCCAATCTGATTAGAGGCATGAGGCTCATGCCTCAAAATGCTCCAGGGTGTGATTATCTTATGATAACCATACCCTGTATCATGTCTGATTGATTAACTAATAAAGCTTCAGCATTATTATTCAGGGAAGGAACCAAGATATCAGAAGGAGATCTGATTCTGGCCTAGGAAAGAGCCTTTGAAGTTACTCAAATAGCCCCTCCCTTGGCCTGATTACAACCTCTGTGTAAAATTACAGGGTCACTGGATGCCATTTTTAGTTTCTTATTGGCGATTAGCTCACTGGTTTAATAAAGCTGAACCATACCTAGGAACATATTTATATGAAGATAAATTATCACTAGACTGTTCCCTTTGCATGTATATTGCACATCTGAGCTACAAAGCAGAATAGAATTAAGCTTTCCAGAGAGAGAATTTTTTAGTTCAGGCTTAGCAGTGGTTTACACAACAGTGAGTTAGATACCAGCAGTACAGTAGCTGTCTAGTCAAGCATACTTTCTGTTATCCTCTTAGCAATAGCTCTCACACTGCCTGGGACATTAGAACCTATTCTACTGAGCACTGAAATGTGAGCCCAGGCACTGGGGTAATACCTTATTCAGATAGTTCTACCTTCTGCTGGCTGCTAACAACTCCAAGGGATTGTTACACTACCAAGAGATCATTTCAATTCAGTCTGCTCTTGCCTCACGCTCTCTCCCTCCATGTTTGCCCTAGAAGGAAGAGTATTAGGATGGCATAGTGTAGAAGCAGCCATGGCATCTCCTGCTTACATTGCCCCTCTGCTGCGTGCTTTGGACAGAACAGGCAATCCCTACATGTAAAAATGAATGAACGCTGATTTGACATCAGTCCCAGAAAGATACACAAGCCTATGGCAGAACACTTGAACCTCCCTGCACATTCCATCACTGACCGCAAAGTGGCTGTTCTTAGACAACAAAACTTTAAAAATGAACTCAAACAGGAAATCGCAAACCAAAAAATCATCCACAGACTGGACTGTGTTAAATGTAACCTAAGCCCTATGCCCCTTAGTGGGTTAACTGCTTTGTTTTTGTCTCCTACCCACCTTGCCTTTCCTAGCAGTGCCCTTTCCTTTTTTTTCTGCCCCCTTCCCTATGCTTTGTATTCTAATCACTGCTTTCTATTTAGCAGCTCTGCTTCCTGCAGTCTTTTTACAGCATCTCATGAAGTAAGCTCCCTGCTTACGAAAGCTTATGCAGTTCATCTCTGGCTTAGTCAGTCTATAAAGGTGCAAATCTACCCTGCCTTCAGCTCTATACCAACCAAGACCCTGCTTCCCCCCCACCACAATCAAATTAATCTTGAGCTATACATTTAGTGCGGGTATTTGCCCTTATGCATTGCCAGAGAGCAGCAAAGGCTGGAGCGTGGACTGGAATCTAGCCCCTTGACTCCTCATGTAGAGTTTTAATTACAAAGCCATCTCCCCATCTCTGCAATGTTGTTTCCACCCTGGATGTAAAACCAGAACCAATCAAGCAGTTGTGTTATCATAGGCTGAATTCTGATATCTCAATTAGACTAGCATAAATCTGGAGTTATTTCTCTGACTTCCGTGGGTCAAAGCCAGGGTTGCTGAGGCATGACTAAGACTGGAATATGGGCCACAATGTACAAAGAGAACGTAACCAAGAATTCTCCTTTGTGGTATAATTTCCAAATCGCTGAACACAACTGAGATAATATCACTCTTGCTTTGATTTGGATATATTATTGAAAACAAAGTGTGAGCATTAATCATATTTATATTCTAAGACCTACAAACACAAAATAATTTTATCAAAATATAAAGTAATGAAAGTCCCTTCATACTGGGATGTACAGTGTATGTCTAACAAAGGCATCATTACAGCCACACTGGACTAGTCTCCTCTAATAAATCATTTGGCAAATTTGCCTGGTCTGTTAATGGATGGTGTTAATCTCTTTAACTCATCAAATAATTGCCTCTTTTATGCTGTGTGGCAAAAATATCTCTGCATTCCTACCAGTGCAGCTTCATCATTGGTAACCCTAGTACAGATGAGGCCCTTGAGGCCACTAATATTTTCAGTATCACACCAGCTAACTCCCCTTAGATAGTGCTGGTTTACACAACATGGTAACAGCTGCCAAAGCCTGGTTTCCATGACAGTTACTTCTACCTAATGGAGCTGCACCAGTGCTAGCAATGGTATAAAAATGTTGCTATTCCTCTTACCTCATCCTAAAAACAAAGTTCCTAGTTCTAAATGCTGGAGAGCAACACAACCCAAAGAGCCAGGCATTGGGCATAACTCACTCTCAACAAGAAGTATTGTCACAATTGCTTATGAAACAAATATCATATGTGGTAGTCTTTTTTTAACTTCATACTGATTATCAGGCTGTTTCTAATTATTCCTTTACAAATAGGAGAATTGATTTGTACCATGTGCAGTCTAAGGATTCCACTCATGCAAGGTTTAGACACATTTATTTATGAGCATAAGAAAAGTTCCATGAAACCCCCTGTAGGATCAAGACTTAAATTCTTTTTCCAAACCTGGATGGATTTTACTTCAGATATACAAGGTGAGGCTGGCAGCCATGAGAATGCCTACTTTCCTAAATATCTCTAAATGTGGTTCCTTTTCCTTTGCCTTCAACACTGCATTATCCTTTCCTGTGTCATGTGCCCCTATCTGCTGTTGCTCGCGTTGAGGCAACAACATCGGAGCCACAAGGAATTAAGAACTCTGACATGAATAATGTATACGGAGAACATGTCAAATAACAAAACAATTCCACAGCTATTTCTCCATACCCAACAACAACTATCAAAAAATATTAAAGAGGGATCTGTTCTCACCAAGATCAATACATAAAACTAATGTGAAGTTTCTACAAAAAAACATTTTGGATTTGACAAGCCAAAATTGTGATGGAAATGTTCAAGAACCAGCATCACTTCATTTTGAGTGTTCACATTTTTCTAACTCGTTATCCCATTTACCCAAAACTTTCTATGGAAATTCTACCCAGCATATGATCATGTCTAGATAATTCCAGGCAGATTATTCTGTTTGATGAAATAGGTTCAAATTTTAACTATGGAAAGTTCATAAATATATAAAAACACTGGCATCATAGTTGGTATATAACACCCTGTAAAAGATGAAATCTCAGTATTTCATTCAATACAGTATTTTGGTAAAGCTTCATGTATGTTAGCCTTGCACAAAACATAGCAGTAAAGAATATGATGCCTTGAGTGTGTAAATCTAGGAATTCCTGGTCTGCTGCCCATCTAGCAGTAAGATGCAAGGCTGTAAAATTAATCATGAGAGTTTTTCCGCATTTTTGCTAGCATTATGCTGT